TAGGCCTACCATAGTTGCATCTAGAGTGAGCATGCACACATTTTTTCCCTTGTTATTATTCCCTGAACATGGAGTAAAACAACTATTTACACAGTATTTACATGGTATTTATTAGGTAATATAAGTAATCTAGAGATTATTTGAAATGTACAGAAAGATGTGTGTAGACTACATGCAAATATGATATCATTTTATAGAGGTGACTTGAGTATCTGTGGACTTTAGTATCCTTGGGGGTCCTGGAACCAACCCCTGACAGATAGCAGGGGATTCTGTATTAGGTGCTATCTATATGCCAGGAACTGAGTCAGGTACCACACTAGGTAATATATATAATTATTTAACATTAGTAAGTTAGCCCTGTTTCTCCAAACTAAACTCAATGAAAACCTGTCTTAAATATTAAGGTACCACCGCTGATCCTCACCTTGGCTGTCACCACTAACTGAGAGCATTCATTTTAAGTTAAGAAATCAACAACCATCTCCAAGATCAAAAAGCTTCATCTCTTTTAATATCTCAATCCTACTAAAAGCTGTTTAAAATATCACCTCCACCATTTTCTCCTTCCTTTTCCTTTCCATTCTCCTCCCAAAAAGTGAAGTGATGATATCCAGTCCAAAGAACAATGGACAATACATACACACATACAACTTTCAGATTCCAACTGCAAAGACAACCAGAAGGTAAAATAGCGATTAAAAGAAACAAGGAAAAGATGACACACACCATTATTCCTGTCAAGTGCACAGAAAGGGCCCTTACTCTAGTTCACTAGTAAAATCTGGAGTCAAGTGAAATGAGTTTTTTTCTTTCTAGAAGTAAAAGAATTTGGGAATTTGTTTTAAAAATAAGATCCCAGACATCATAAAAGAAATCTTTATTTTTTGGAAACAGAGTTTTTCATAAATATACAAAGGTTATGTATAAACAAACAAGTCCATCTGAAATGGTGTGTGCTACATCACTTTTGTTCCCTACAAGTTGAAAAGGAAAATGTAAAACACAAATAAGACCATCTCAGGAAGGTTGAGCTTTTTTCTTGTTTTTCAGTCCAGTATAATGCTTAAGTTTCTTAAAATTTACAAGGTATACTTGGCACATTCATAAAACCTTAAGTGGAGGGGGGAGCAGGAGATGGCCTCATGGTTAAGACACTGGACTCCCATGTAGTTGACCACGGTTCAAGTCCAAGAACAGACTTGAAACTCACACCGGGTGCGTGAGCGTGCATGCCCAAAATCCCAAGAGGAGAATAGAGGAAAAGAGATTTAGGCATTGCCATCCCCACTGGGGGATGATTTCTCACTTTCTGTCTCTCTGGCGAGCGCCCACACACTATAACAAAAATTTGAAAATTTACCACTAGATTGGTAAATTTTCAAAAGCATAAAGTGGAAAAAAAAAGTAATGATTTTTATAAATACCAAGGCAAATCAAGAGTATGTAGGGGCATAGCAGGTCAAACAGAAAGTCCACATCAAATTTGGGGCCCTTTGATTTTGTTGCAAAGTTGTTATTAAATGGATAAATAAATTAATCTGCTTTTAGAGTATCCTTGAACCCCAAAACATTCATCCCATACACATAGAGTCTATCTACCTAGAGGTTAACCTGAATAATTAACTGGGGTTTTCAATATTGTTTTTACTACATTCCTTGTGTTTGGCAACTCTGAAACAGCTTTGAAATGCAGTTGATAAATGTAAAACACATCAAGTAAATAAATATAATGATCACAAATCCCTGACTTCCTTTATCAGGAACCACTTAACTAAAAACCCTAAATTAGTTTTCTTTACTATAGGTTATGTCCTCCTTTCCTCTTTGGTAACTATTCTCAAAAAACTTTGGCTTTAGTTTTGGCAGTCTGTAAGATAAAACCATGGTGATATGTTTTACAAGACAAGCTACAAATTAATCAGTTAAATAATTATTTCATTTAATTCAGAAAATAATTTTTGGCAACTTTCTTAATCAACAATGCACCTTGCATTTTAAAGAATGCAAAGTGGGTACAGCAGATAACTCCCTTCCTGGACTGCAGTAGTGGGTGGATAACACCCCATTTTCACATAGATAGGGGAAGTTACTGCCATCAACCAATATACAACGAAGCAGAATTTGAACGCAAAAAATTTGACTGTTCCATTCACAAGGTGACCCATTAACTGCAATTACCACCCGTCCCCACAAGCTCAAACTATGACGCTTTAGGAGAAGCATCTTCAGTTTAAACTAAAAGATGCCCAAACACACAGCCCTTACTAAACCAGTCCTGGTGCAGCTTTCTCGGTCATGAAAGCATTTACGGCCTTCCTCTGTTCAGCCTTAAGTGTAATTCCTAGAAGGCACTGGCAAATCTCTGCCAGGCCAATCTGCAGTTGAAAACGGATGCGTGTGGTGCGGTGCGACAAGATGACAGGAGGGTCAACATTTCTAACCCTCTACTTCAACTCTGCATGGCAATAGCGGCTCCGCTAACACAGTCAACACAGTAATTGCACAGGGCAGATCACTACCCACGTACATGAGGGTCCCCTTGACCACAAACAGGCAGCTCTGGGGAAATACAATTTCTGGAACAAAACATGATGCTTGCATAATACCACAAACACACACAAGCCCCCTACAAGTTGAAAAGGAAAACGTAAAACACAAATAAGACCATCTCAGGAAGGTTGAGCTTTTTTCTTGTTTTTCAGTCCAGTATAATGCTTAAGTTTCTTAAAATTTACAAGGTATACTTGGCACATTCATAAAACCTTAAGTGGAGGGGGGAGCAGGAGATGGCCTCATGGTTAAGACACTGGACTCCCATGTAGTTGACCACGGTTCAAGTCCAAGAACAGACTTGAAACTCACACCGGGTGCGTGAGCGTGCATGCCCAAAATCCCAAGAGGAGAATAGAGGAAAAGAGATTTAGGCATTGCCATCCCCACTGGGGGATGATTTCTCACTTTCTGTCTCTCTGGCGAGCGCCCACACACTATAACAAAAATTTGAAAATTTACCACTAGATTGGTAAATTTTCAAAAGCATAAAGTGGAAAAAAAAAGTAATGATTTTTATAAATACCAAGGCAAATCAAGAGTATGTAGGGGCATAGCAGGTCAAACAGAAAGTCCACATCAAATTTGGGGCCCTTTGATTTTGTTGCAAAGTTGTTATTAAATGGATAAATAAATTAATCTGCTTTTAGAGTATCCTTGAACCCCAAAACATTCATCCCATACACATAGAGTCTATCTACCTAGAGGTTAACCTGAATAATTAACTGGGGTTTTCAATATTGTTTTTACTACATTCCTTGTGTTTGGCAACTCTGAAACAGCTTTGAAATGCAGTTGATAAATGTAAAACACATCAAGTAAATAAATATAATGATCACAAATCCCTGACTTCCTTTATCAGGAACCACTTAACTAAAAACCCTAAATTAGTTTTCTTTACTATAGGTTATGTCCTCCTTTCCTCTTTGGTAACTATTCTCAAAAAACTTTGGCTTTAGTTTTGGCAGTCTGTAAGATAAAACCATGGTGATATGTTTTACAAGACAAGCTACAAATTAATCAGTTAAATAATTATTTCATTTAATTCAGAAAATAATTTTTGGCAACTTTCTTAATCAACAATGCACCTTGCATTTTAAAGAATGCAAAGTGGGTACAGCAGATAACTCCCTTCCTGGACTGCAGTAGTGGGTGGATAACACCCCATTTTCACATAGATAGGGGAAGTTACTGCCATCAACCAATATACAACGAAGCAGAATTTGAACGCAAAAAATTTGACTGTTCCATTCACAAGGTGACCCATTAACTGCAATTACCACCCGTCCCCACAAGCTCAAACTATGACGCTTTAGGAGAAGCATCTTCAGTTTAAACTAAAAGATGCCCAAACACACAGCCCTTACTAAACCAGTCCTGGTGCAGCTTTCTCGGTCATGAAAGCATTTACGGCCTTCCTCTGTTCAGCCTTAAGTGTAATTCCTAGAAGGCACTGGCAAATCTCTGCCAGGCCAATCTGCAGTTGAAAACGGATGCGTGTGGTGCGGTGCGACAAGATGACAGGAGGGTCAACATTTCTAACCCTCTACTTCAACTCTGCATGGCAATAGCGGCTCCGCTAACACAGTCAACACAGTAATTGCACAGGGCAGATCACTACCCACGTACATGAGGGTCCCCTTGACCACAAACAGGCAGCTCTGGGGAAATACAATTTCTGGAACAAAACATGATGCTTGCATAATACCACAAACACACACAAGCCAGTTTTTAAAATGATGTTCAGTCCCAGCACTGTGCTGACACTTTTCCCACCTAAACTTCTCAGCACAAGCCTGGCCTAAAAGCATAGCTGGGATCCAGTCTCTGCGACGGACGACAGCAGAGAGCACCCACGACGGGAACGCTGGGACAATGCCTGCCCCAACCCATTCCTGTTCTGGCCAGGTTGAGATGTAGTTCAGTCCGGTCTACTTTATGATAATGTGTTTTTAAAACCCCGCCGCGACCCAGGTCATAGCTTTAGAGATCTAATAACAACCAAATGACTAGGACTGCCGGGCACTTAGTAAGCCATTCTGGTTATGGCTCTTTAATAGTACCTTGAGTTCTGCTACGGGGAGAGCAGAAAACTCCAGCTTCCGCGGAGAGTCCTCTACTAGGAGCGCAGAGGGAAGCAAGGCAAACCGATCGCGGACGAGGGACTCCGTACCACCGCGGCCCCATCTCTCAGGCAGTCTCAGGGACCCTCGCCCCACAGGACGGCTGGCGGGGGACGCACCTTTACCTGTCAGCTCCACCACCCAGCCACCCAGGCAGCTGTCCCTCCGAGTCCCGGCCACAGCTTCACAGCCGGCTGCGAAAGAAAGAACCCCAAAGGCATCCCATCCCAAAGAAAGAAAGCAAAAAGGCTGTTCCTCCAGGCGAGGGGCCATCGGACACGCGGAGATCCGAGAGACGACACGCCACTCCTGCCCCGCACCTACCAGATAATCCATGTACAGAAACGCCTCAGTTATCCGGAGATCAGACATCCGGCAGCCTAAAGCATCCGGAACAGCTCCGAACCCGGAAAAAAAAGCAGCGTCTCTGGCTGCGAGAGAGCAGCCCCTGAAAAGCCAGCAACAGCGAAAATAGCCGAGAGCAGCCGAGGAGCCGAAGATTACACAAGGGGCGCGGCGATTGGCCGGGCGGGCGGGCAGAAGGAAAGAAGAGCGCTCATTGGCTGCGGCGACTATAAAAAGCAGGCCTCTGGGGTTGGCCTGCAAGAAGCGCGGGAGAGGTGCGGGCGTCGGTTCCTGTGTGCTGGGCGGAAGGCGGGGGGGAAAGGCGGCGCAGGCGGAAGAACGAGCTGTTAGGGCGGAAAATAGGCTAGTGCGGCGACCGGCGGAGTTCTCCGCGCTGCCAGAGCCTTCCAGTCCGATAATGCAGAGCCGTATTCCCTGCTCCGGACAGCTGAGCCTTGGTGTCCTCTCCCACTCCTTTGTGGGAAGCGAGTGTTGTAATGTGGGAGGCGTGGTAGCCACCGACACTTAGTCTGTCCCTGCCGCGTCTTCTTTTGAATTCTGTGGCCTCGAGACTGCGCTGCTCGGGCAAGTGTGTAGAAGGGTACTCTGAGAAAAGGCCAGGGTAGCCTGAGGGGGCGAGGGTAGTCTGGCGGGGTGGGGGGAAGCCTGTAAGCGGCTTGAGGGCTGAAAAGCCCTCCGTACCTTCCAGTGAAACTGCCGAGGCGAACAATTACAATCTAATGTCCAAAAGACACTCAGGCGGAGTTTACTCGGAGTCTTCTCTCCCCGCCCTGACTCGTCCCGTCCGAGAATTCGCTCGTCAAGTGAAAAGGATAGAGTTAAAGGACTCACAGGTGCACTTCTCAAACACCTGGAGCGAGGTTGATTAGTTCTTATGCTTTGTCTAATTATTGAGGACGAAACCAATACCCCTAAATAAGATGAGTAATCCGGGTGCGTGTGCGTGTGTGCCCAAGATCCCGAGAGGAGAATGGAGAAGGGATTGCAGCGTGAGGGGGTGATTTCCTGCTTTCTGTCTCTGTCTGGCGAGTGCAGGCGCCCTATAGCAAAAGCCTCTCTAAAAAAAAAAAAAAAAAAAAAAAAAAAAAAAACTCTTCGCAATATCCCCAGTAGTATCAGGACACTTAAAAAGTCCGAAGAAAAAGAAAGTACCAGTTTACCTCGGTTCAAGATAAATTTGAAATTCATGCCTTTTTTTCCCTGGTAAAAGCTTTATATCCATTTGGTCCAAGACATAAGAGGGCTGCCAAGTGGCTGGAGAGGAGAGGCTTGGAAGCTGATAGCAGGAGACTCCAGGTTGTTGGGTTCTAGACCCTACTCGTGCTTCAGGGTGAGCTTTTCCAAGGCTCAACCCACCCTGGGGACACCCCAGCCTACCGGAGTTGGTCAGGTGGTCGCCTATCTTAATGAGTTTCACATCCTCATCTAAGAAGTTAGGTCTCCAGAAAGTCAGAAATGGGGGTCTGTGTGGCTAGAACCCAGAGCATGAAGATTCAAAAGGGCCTGGTTCAGGGAACCAGCAGTTAGCGTAATGGCTATGTTGCTGGACTCCCACTTAGTCGACCGCGGTTCGCGTCCCGGATCCGGTGGCTTAAAACTCACGCCAGGCGTGTGTGCGTGCGTGCCCAGGATCCCGAGAGGAGAATGGAG